TCTCCGGCGTGGTCAACGGGCAGCTTTGAACCTTTGGGACATTTTTGTGGTCGCTGTGGTCTCAAACTTGGGTTCGGAGCACCCCCGGAATACTTGGCGTAAAAAAACCCAAAACCAAATCTATTTGCTTTCTCAATAAATGTAGCGCGCGGTGGGGTGGGGTGGGGAGACACCTGTTGGACCCCCAAATCTGATTTGAATACAGGGATTGCCTTGTTAAAGTTAAAAGGGTACCGAGATGCCAAATCTCGAAATATACATTAAAACAGCGCTCAGAATTAAGGAACATTTAATACACAAGTAAAATCTTTAGAGAATCAAGGTGGTTTAATCTGCTGAGCTAGCACACCTGACAGGACTACAATCCAAGGCTTTGCCTAGTTAGTACACTCCAGCAGGCGCTGATTCAACCTCTTAACTCTTAAAACACCTGGCAAGAGTATAGCCAATGCTTTGCATAGTGTTGTACCCTAAGCACTGTTCAAAGCGCTTATCATCTAGCACACTATTCCACCTTTACCTGGGCATGACGCTGGGCACGTCACTCCTCTGAATCTTGATATCCTGGTAATAGGCTCCATCTTCAAATTGCTTTCTTCAAGGCTTAAAGAGATTGGCTGCACAGCAGTTGGAGATATAAAAAGAGGGGATACCCTAGCTTTTTGGATTGAAACCTGCCCAAATCTTAAAACATTGTGTTGCCTGTCAGTTATCTATTGCAACATAATTTGCTCAGTTTTAAATAGCGGAAGTTGGTAGAATGCTTCCATTTCATCATTAGTGTTACTAGTTGGTGCTTAAGGTTGAATAATAGTTGCATTAAGTGCCTCCCCTATAGGGATATTTCAGGAACCTTGTTGGTGTAGTGGTTACACATTGGGCTGCGATCCATACCCTCGGCAGTTCAAAATCACGACCCCTTTGAGAATCAAACGACCCTTTCATAGGGTCGCGACCCACTGCCCTAAACAATATCTCTTCTCAGCTCATGAGGGGGCAGGTCTACCCTTTGCTACAGGGTTGCTATGAATCAGCATTCACTTGATGGCAATGATTTGTTTTTGTTTTTGTTTTTTTGGTACCAAAAAGAACTGGTTAACATCCAACAATTTCAAGAGGCAGTAAGTGATCAAGAACCAATGGTAGTAAGGGGATAAGTTCAAGCTGCACAGAACACATTAGCCAAAAGTTTGTTAACAACTTGCAATGTGCACAGGGCACAGTCTTGCTCACCGAAAGCCAGAGGACTCGAAGCACGTACTGATGAAAATCAAACACTGCAGTCTCCCATACAGATTACAACTCAATGTAAAGTAAACCAACATTCACGCAACTAGACCAGTGGACAGCCTCATGATAAACAGAAATGACTGAAGTTGTCGTGAATATCATCTTGCTTGGATGATACAATCAATGCTCATGCACATCAACTGCACAATCAACAGCAGTCAAGAGATTAAAGAACATTGGGTATACTTGCTGCACAAGACCTCTTAAGTGTTGATAAGCAAAGATATTATTTTTGTGACGGAGGTGCATCTGCCCTAAACCATGGTATATTCAATTACCTCATATGCATATGAAAGTTGAACGATGAATAAGGAGGGTTACAAAAGAATTCATGCGTTTAAACTATGGTGTTGGCAAGGAATATTGAAAATACCATGGACAGCCAGAAGAACAAACAAATCTGTCTTGAAAGAGCTGCTTGGAAGCGAAGACAGTGAGACTTCATCTCATACACTTTGGACATGTTGTCAGGAGGGATGAGTCCCAGGAAAAAGACATGCTTGGTAAAGTGGAGGGTCAGGGAAAAGGAGGGAGACCCTCAATGAGATGGATTGACAGAGTGACTGGCACAGTGGACTCAGATCAAACAACTGTGAGGTTGGCGTAGCATCAGGTAGTGTGTTATTATAAATGGGGTCACCAAGAGTTGGAACTGACTAAAAAACACCTCACAACAATAATAACAACATTGCAACATAACAAATCAAACAGTAATCATTTCTTGTTTCTCACTTCTGTGACTTCTGTGTTTGGCTCACGATTACATGCCTGGTGCTCCGTTAGGACAGATTCCCATTCCTACACTTGATCTTAGCCAAAAGGTCGAGAAGAAGCGATCAGATTCGCATTCCTAAAGTAAAATTGTGAGCTTGTTCCTGTCCTGATCAGTTGACTCAGTGGCACCTGTTTTTTGTTGCTGTGGGTGTTAGTTGCCATGTGTGGTAGTTACATAATTTCATGCCAACTTGATATATAAAAGTGTAGGGGTGGAGTCTAGCCTGTCAATCAGGCCACAGCCTGATGACACCTCCATATGGGCATGGCCAATCAGGCCACAGCCTGATGACACCTCCATATGGGCATGGCCAATCAGGTCACAGCCTGATGACACCTCCATATGGGCATGGCCTTCTCACAAGACCCCTTCTCTCTGCTTTCACCTTCCTGCTGGCTGACCCTGATGGCAGCCAGAGCCCTAGAGATGTGTCCACTGCCATTGGATCCACAAGACTTTGCACCCACTGGCCTGTGATCTTCCTGCATCCTGCATCATTGCGTGTGACTGTGTGAGTCTGAAGAGGGACTTAATGGACTAGTATTGGACTTATGGACTGGAGTTGGACGGGGCTGAAGTGTCTCCCTGATATATAAAGCTTCTTGGTATAGAACTCTTCCTACACATATGTGTGTGTCACTGGATTTCTTTCTCTAGTCAACCCGGCCTAACTCACAATGGAATCTACTCTGACTCATGGCAACCCAGGCTGGCAGATTAGAAACACACACCAGGGGCTTTGCACGGCTGTGACCTTGTGGAAACAACTCATCAGGCCCGTTGTCTGAACGTGTGCATGCTGTAGGTAGGGCCTCCAACTTTAAAACGTGCTTAACAGGTTTCCTCACCCAGTAGTTTCTAATGACTTAACCAAATTGATTTCCAATTTCTCAATTTGGCATTTGAGGTCTTCGAAATAACCTTTACCCTCATATTTCTCTATACAGAAGCTTGTTCCCTTAGTAATCCAGGTACTTGCTGTATCCATCTCTTAACATCTCTTAAAACCTGGACTTCTAGAAATTGTAAGGTGATTTTTACCTTAGGAAAAATAAGATTCCAAGTTTACGTTTTATAATATTAAAAGCACAATTTCAAGAAAATTCAAACCCTCAGCAGCATGTCAATTCCAACTCATATAGGGTTTCCGACATTGTAAATCTTCACAAGAGCAGATAGGCTCATCTTTCTCTCTGGGGGCAGCTGGTGGGTTTGAACCACTGACCTTGTGGTTAGCAGTCCAATGCTTACCTACATGACTCTTTCAAGTACAATATAGTCAAATTATAACGCTATAGCCTACTAGACCATAATGAGACTCATTTTCATAATTGTTAACTTTTTCATTTCTCTTGGAGATAGAAACAGGAACAGCTCATGAAATTTGAATCCCCAGGAAAAGGGGCTGTCATGGTTAGGGAGCACATCCAGTAGACAATCCTGGCTAGGGCTGGAGTCAAACCTGTCAATCAACTAGTAGCTTGAGAATGTCTCCTTGGGGTGTGGCCTTCTGTACACCAGCAAGATCAAAAAGAGGCGCGATCTCTCTGCCACTCCCCCTTCCTCCTTACTGGTCCCTCTGGGGCACTGTGTCTGTTCCAGGGGTGGCCCCATGTGGGCCGCCTGGCTTTCAGAGTTGTTGGCACCCTGCTATGCTTCCACTGACCTTGGATATACCAAACTCTGCCCTCACTGCCCTGTGATCTCCCTGCTTCCCAGGTTACCTTTCTTCTTGTACCTACAGGAGTCTGAAGAGGGCTAGCATCAGACCTATGGGCTTGAATGGGGTAGGACTGGGGCGCCTTCTTGACGGGAAGTTCTCTCCTACCTAGATGAGTGTTGCTGGGTTGTTTCTATAGGCAAGCCAGGCTGCCATAGGGGCCAACTGACACGTGAAAGTTGGCACTATATATAATTTTTTGCATCCAAATCTTTGGAGGCTCATTCAATACAATTAGTTTTCTATATAACTGTGTCAGAGGTTCCCAAGACCACCGCCAGGTTCAGTGGTTTGTAGGAGGAGTCACGGACCTCACGAGGGTCATACTCAGCCATGGCTTATTACAGTGAAAGGATACACGGCAAGGCAGCAAAGAGAAAAGGTGCCAGGAGGAAATCAAGGCTCAGCCTCCAAGAGTCCTCTCCCCATGGAGTCACGCAGGACATGCTTAGTTCCTCCAGAAATACTTGGTGTTTTTCATTGGAGGGTATTGCTCCACACAGGACCCCTCTAACTAGCTTGCACAAAAATCCGAGACTTCCCCATTGGCTGCTACCTGCAAGATCCAGCAATCTGAGCTGACCAGGTGCCCTGAGGAATGAAGATGAGTCTGCCAGATGCCATTAAGAGTCACAAACAGTCTGGGAACAGTCTGGGAAATCCACAGGGACAGTTCTCCTTTGTCCTACAGTGTTACCATGAGTTTTATTCAATCCCACGGCAGTGAGGTTTTGAGTGAGAAGGCAAACAAGTGTTCAGCATCAGCCATATTCTTGGTAAAATAGTTTTAGCACAGCAAGCCACTCTTACAACTCCTGGAGATGGTGTGCACCTCTTAAAATACTGTTCTCGGTGAAGAACGAACCTGGAAAGCAAGTCTTTCTAAGGA